TCACACTTACGCGTGTACGCGTCATTCACACTTACGCGTGTACGTGCGTATTTTATCATATGCAACATATGCAAATAAATGGCTCCATACACATAGCCACGTATGGAGCCGTATATTTGCATATCGTATATATGCGCAAAAACAGAATTGAACCAAGATTCTTGGGCAGCGTATTTCTGCGTATTTTACGCGCATACGCGCTTACAGTTCATTAAAATTTCCATTAGGAATGATGCATTCTGGGAATGCAAATAGTGCACGCATATACGCGTGTGTATATATACGCGCATAGACGCAATATACAATTTTGCTTGAGTTGTGTGTGAATGAGGCCTTAGGGACAGCAACATACTTTGAACAACTCCGTCATAAGGGGGTTGAATTAAAGAAATGAACCCCTTAGGGTGAAAAACAAGCTGCAGATTTTTATTGTAAGGGGTTATTTTTTTATAATTTATAGTATAAAAATATATTTGTATATAATTATTTTAATTTTTTTAACACTTTTTGTTAATTGTCATTTATATCAAGCAGCCACTATGACTGCTTGATAATTATTTTTTTTATTAGACTGCTCCAAACTTAGGAACAGCCAATAATAACCTTAGTGACTGATCCTGACAGCATGACGGGATCAGATCTCACTAAAGGCTTCTGGTCATTCTGGGAATGATTAGAAGCCTTGAAACATTTCCGCACAGAAATACATTGTAACATTTCTGTGCTGAAGAATGTAACAAAACAGCCTGTACACATCACTGATGGCCATCCGGTATTTGTAATGACTGTTTTTCCACTTGCTGGTTCTCTTGGGCATTAGTGATGTAATGCGCCCAAGCATTGCATCCTGGGAAGGTTACATCAGCACAGCATTGCTGGGAAATCTCATCTGTAATCTCATGAGATTTCAGGGAAAGGCATTTTCCTCCCCTGAGATGATATGCCTGGTCACAAGTCCTAGTCACATGTGTTGCGGGAAGTAAAGGGAGATGTATTACTGTGCCCTTAGATAAAATGGCCACTGTCAGAAGACTGGGGAAGAAAAGAGAAATAATGTATACAAAGCCGGCAATTATCTAGAAGTATCTGTTTGTCATTATTAAACATTTCTGAAGGTGTGTTTTGTTGTCATTTCAAAGATAAGGGTAAAGCTCCTTTAAGTCATTTTTGTCAGGTTAGATATCTGGAAGCTGGCATTGCTGGCTTGTTTTTAAAGATGCTTCACTACCATTGGTGCCGTGGACCTTGAGGCAAGCGTATATAGTACATATCGTGTGTTTGGACCAGTTCCCTTTAATTGTGCTCAGCAATGTGGTTCTTGGTGTATTATTGCACAATGCAGAGCTTTTTGTTTAGATCAGATATCATGTAGTGATATTTTGATTTTGTTCCGCTTCTTTTGTTATCTTTTTAGTTAGTTAGCTCCTTGGCTCTACATGCCTGTGGTGCATACTCCATTAAATTGCTATTACCAACTGATCATCATTGCAGTACAATGTTTACCCAGTAATTGTGCACGACTTATAATGTTCTTACCTCTGTCCCAGGGATCAGTAAACAAATATTCCAAGTTATCTTTTCATTTCACTTTTACGACCCCAAGTTGTCTGTTACAATTTGTACTACATATGCTAACCTATGATGAAGCAAAGCTCTCATTATTGAACTCTGGGCAAACCGCTAAATACTGCACACTGATGAAATTCATATATGGGGGCAGTTTGTATTTCTGTTGATGAAGTTCTGAGGTTGATACTGCTTTGCCACACAACACTGGTCTTGTCCCAACCACCCCCCAACCTGTGACTGCACACTGAAAGGAGAAGCAGTAGACAGATTGGCTTACTTCTCCATCACTGTGCCCTCTGTTCTATCAGCATACCCCTTGCACTACAGCAAAACTGATTTGCCCTTTGTGTTGCTTCTCTCTTCCACAGCCTGAGCATTTATTTGTAGTTACTTGTAAGAAGCTGATGCCAAGTCAAATTTGGGTACTTGCTCTGCTTGCTCCAAAAAACAAAACAAAAAAATTGATATTGTATTAATGAATTCAGAGCTGCATTATTTTTGTCATTTATATGTGACGGGAGTTCAGGTTTAATGATTTAACTAATTAGAAAAAATATATTTGCAAACAGAACGGTGTTGCTCTGGCCTGCTCCCAGCCCTGTTAAACTGATTCCCATATAAGGGGGCTGAAATGTCAGGATGTGACCAGCTCCATTTATTTAAGTGTATGTGGTAGCTGTGCATGGTGCTGCCATGCTTCCATTCATCTGGACTACCAAACAAAAGCTTGGCTGCACTGTGTGTACCTTTTTTATCTCTGCATTCATTGTAGTGGTAAATGCTGTTTGTCAGATGTGCTGACATGTGGAAATGCCCAGTGATTGGCGGTATCCATGCACTATAGTTTATAGCCAACTGTATTTGTCTGATTTAAAGTGTATTAGGGTAAGATCACATGAAAGTTTTTCACAGTGTTTGTTTATTTTGACTATCACCTTCACACTCACACCCTCTCTCTCTCGCGCACGCACGCACGCACGCACACCCCACTAAGAGGATCTTCTCATCTGCCAAATTACAAAGATGGAAACTACTATAAAAATCATACCTTGCAGCATGCTACAGTCTCCTACCCATAATGCCAGGCATCTTGGCACTGCAGGAAGACAGAGAGATGTGACTCGAGCAGTGAAGTGCTCTAGTCACATCACCACCCCTCCATACTATTTGCCCATTCACAAAATGCCTTGCATGTGTTATTAAAGAATACAAGGCATACTGTGATAGGAGAAGAGGAAGATGGCGCTGTTTGGGCGGCGGGGGTTGGTTGTAGACATATCTCCTCCAATCAAAGGAGGACTTGGTTGTTTGTTTTTTAATACAAGGCATTTAGTGAATGAGCAAGTAGTGAGTGGGCAGATGATGTGACCAGAGCACTTCACTGCTCACCTCCCTTACTCCTTGCAATGTCTGCAGACTCTGTGTAATGTGTAGGGGACGGCATGCATCAAGGTAAGACTTTTTATACTTTGCAGAGCACTCCACACATAACACTCAGGTTTATCAGTATGGTGTGTAAATTATAATTTCTTTCCTGGAGTTTGGCATTAAAAGAAACCTGTCATAAGAGAAATACAGAGGCAGCCATTGCTGATCCCCTCCTAAAAAATGCTGTCTGCTTTTCTTTTCTTTCCAACGTTGCTGAATTATTGACCTAGAAAAAAAGTGTGATGGTTGGGCATTTTGACTCCAAAATGCAAAAACCGACCGGCTCACCAAGAAGAATCGGCCAGTGTATGATGAGCTTTAGGCTCAGTATGACAATTTTTACCTTTCACTGCTTACTATTCTAAAGTGACATTTGATTGGTTGCTGTCGGTTACTGTGCATGATTTTCGTGTACATATATTTAAAAGTAAGTCCTGTCAGCAGCTAAAGTCAGGCATGCAGTAAACGTGTAGTGATATCCAGAAAATATATGTTCTTGTGTGGGAAATCTGTTTATCATCTCTGCATTGGAGATCTATTACAATCCATTGTTGCTCTTATGTGTTGTGCATGCGTACAGTGGGCTTAGAGAGGGTAGTACTTGAGTCGTTGATCTTATTTTGCAGACTCCGGTTTAGGGAAAATTGACAAATGATGGTGGCAACCAACTAGCTGCATTTGGCACTGCTGCAGAATGTCAATACCTGAAGGACAATGGGAGGAATGTACTGTTTCAGGTCTCTTTAAAGCCGTGGTTCTCAACCTGTGTAACTTCAGGACTCACATTTGTCCGTGGTCATTAGGTCGTTACCCAAGTCGCACCCAAGTGAATGGCAATGCAACACACCTCCCACACCACAATGCGCGGTAGGTGCGATTGCGTTGGAAGATGCATTAATCGCAAGGGACTGTGCAGTTAATGCACTGTACTAGTGTGAACGGACCCTTAAAATCACTGACAGACACACACAACCACAGACACAATCTCACACTCAGACATTCTCATACATTCTCATACATTCTCATACACAGATACACACTCCCAAAAAAGTTAAATTTTTTTTTTTTTTAGATCCATCCAATCTCCCTATCGTACGAGAACTGGGGTGGATCCTCAACCTGTGGTCCAGTGTGGGCTGCTGTGCTGGAGCTCCATCCATATGTGCATTGCTTTGTACAACTCCCTTGCATGTCCTGTAGAGGTGCCAGGAGACAGAATGTGACGTCACTCCGGTCCGGGCACCCCTACAAGACACCTGAGGGAGCTGTAAGCAATGCATGTAAGGATGGAGCTCCCTCGTGGCCATGGCCCCAACTCATCCCACTCCACCCCACCCAAAGCTCACAATCGGTACCGCTTGGGGGAGTCTGACGAGCCTAGAAAACGGGAAGGCATGCGGTGACCCACTGAACACGGGGTCATGGCCCACCAGTTGAGAACCAAGGCTTTAAAGGATAGCGGTTATAAAAGAAATTTCTGAAAATGCTTGTGGCTAGTTTCAATACTTTGGAGTCTGACCTGAACCAAGCATGTTGCAAATTAATCTTAGAAAGGTCAACAATCCTTATTTCATTCTTAATTAATTCCACTATAGTCTTTCTGGGTCAGTAACTTAAAGTATTAAAGCCAAAGCATCAGCATGATGGCGTTTTCAGGTGTCAGTATTTGCAGTCTGCATATTCTTCTCATGACAGATGTACTTTAAGTGTAAAATGTTGATGATCATTTGGTGGTCTTATGTAAGGAATGTAGTAGCACGTACTGTCTGAATTCATAATTTCATCCTCTACACTAAACTGACATCTGGTTGCCACAGGATAGTCAGCTCCATACGTAATTTTGTTTCATACAAGATTCAGGTACTGTAGAACTCAACAGCAGTTTTTCCATTTTCTCATAGATTTTAGTTTACTGTTGTGTGTGTCAAGCTGTGCAGAATGATTAGGTGGTGTTCACTTTCTCACCTTTTGATGGATGTTTTTTCTGTTTGTTTGCAGGAAGTTTGGGGAGCGGCCTCAACCCAAACGTCTCACAAGGTAAGGCACATTGAATCGGTTTCCTATTTGCCCAGTGACAAACACTGAAGTTTAAAAAACAAAAATAATGACTCTCTTGGCACCTTGATAACCTCACAAGTGGTGAGGGTGAAGGATGAGTGTGCATGTGAATTTTCAGGCTTGGCTTTTCACACCTCACTTCACTCTACAGTGAGACTATCCCACCCATGGTGTTCTGCTCCATAGTTCTTGTTCTGAAATAGGAAGCCAGGCAAACAAAATGTGTGAACTAAATCAGACCACAATGAAGTGGTATTTCTGCAGCTTATTACAGATAGTTAAATGTAGGGTTCTCCCGATACCACTTTTACAAATACAAGTACTGTCCCTCCTGTACTTGTTGATACCAATTACCGATACTTTTTCTTAAAGGGACATGTGACATTTTTTCTAAAACAATACAGACTAATGATTTTAGGGCAGTTTCTCACCAGTGCTGCGTGCATTGGAGGCGACAGGTTCTCTGTAAGGTGACATTAGGGGTCTTTTAGACCTCTAGTGTCACCTTTCTACTTCACTGGATTCACTGAATGTAAATACAGCAGGCAGTGGCTGAGAGCAATAGCCAGCCTGCTGTTTGATATTTTAAATTGCAATAGCCAATAGCAGGCTGGCTATTGTACCCGCCCACTGCCTGCTGTCAGCAAAGGAAGGAACTGAAGACAAAGTTCTCAATCGGGTCCTCTCTGCTGATTGACAGCAGGCAATGGGCAGGTACAATAGCCAGCCTGCTATTGGCTATTGCAATTTAAGATATCCAATAGCTGGCTATTGTTACAAGTGTCAATTCCTTTTCCACTTGATGAAACTGTTTGCTTTTGGTGATGTATCTCAGTGACAGATGTCGGTTCTCCTTATGTGATAAATTTATCAAATCTGCACTTATGGGTGGAAATGTAGTGTAATCCTGTGGACCTTGAGGTCAAGAATGATTAGAGTAATGAGTGTGCAGCGCTTAGCGCTGCACACTCATTACTGTAAAGGTGCTCCTTATGTGTTTAATAATAATGCCCTCACCAGACGTACGCAGACGTTTTCCCTCTCAGTGAAAGAAGGCAATGTCCGTTCTGTCTGTAGGCAAGATTTACAGCTTCTCTCCTCTTCTCCCCCGTGAGCACACTGAACGGACATTCTTTTCTTTCAATGAGAGTGAAAACTGCTGTGTACGTCGGGTGACTGCATTACACATAAGGAGCACGGACATCTCACACTTTGTGACACCGTATATTACCAAAAGTAAAAAGTTTTACCAAGTTGAAAAGGAGGGGACACGAGGAACAGCAGCAGCTAAGGTACATGGGGCAGGGGGGCAGCAGGGGATTTCACAGCCATAGTCTCTTCTCCCATCTCATGCTGGCTACAGCGGTCTGCGAAAGGGACACAGAACTCTGCAGCCAGCACCAGCAGGGAGAATAGACTGTCCACACATAACACTTACCGCCGGCCATGCTGTCACACTTCCATCCGGAGAGGTCAGAGCGGAGAGGGAGCCTGCGTTTGGTGGAGAGGTATTCCGGGGGAGGGGCTATGCGGGTCAATGGCCGAAGCTAGTTAAACATTTTTTTAAGGGCCGGTATCTGATCTATGCATCGGGGCATTTTCAGGAGTATAAGTAAATGCCCTGAAAATGCCCTGTATCGGCCCCGATACTGGTACTAGCATCGGTATCGGGACAACCCTAGTTAAATGTGTGTAAATATGGAAGATAATGCACCCCTACAGTTGTTTCATGGTATTGGGCGTAGGCGAGCTGTTTTATGACCACAGAACAGCTCTGACATCTTTTGGTTACTGAACTCAAACTCTGAAATCAATTATACGAGGGCAGGTAATAACACATGGATATAGTAAGGAATACAGTATGTGCTTGTGAACTTTTGTCTCTCCTTAAAACACAGATCTGCAAGTAATGGTATTCAGGCTGGATTAGATTTACTTTAGGCAGAACAATGAGAGTATATACATCATTCATACTGCATATCACAGTACTTGGCATTGAGTCATCTGGTGTGGACACAGGCTTTGCTGTTGCTGCTACGCCTGGACAGTATTTCTGCTCTCGTCTGCCCTTTTTGATGGAGAGCTCCACTTCAACAAAAAAATATTTAAACACAAACCATTTTGCCACTTTTTAGTTTGTAATTAAAAAAGATCTTTGCATTTTAGTCTGCATAAGCTTTTTTTTTTTTTACGGTAACTGGTGAACATATCTAGCCTCCACACATCATCTAAGCATCAATGGAGACTTGGCTGTTATGCAGTTTATCCAGGCCCACATGCATCCTTGGCATTGACAGTCAATTTCTTTTTTAAATTCTTTATTTCAACTTGTTTTATGTATACAAGTTAAAAAACGACATATAATCAATATAGACCTTAACATAATACCAATAGAGTATAAGCCAGAAGAGAAAGAAGAAAGAGGACCATATACAAATGAGCAGTTATTCAGACCCTTGACTGGAGTAGGGCACATACATCTCAACAAGTGCTAGGCGTATCAGACACACATGTAGAGCGCCAAATGGTGTATAACGGGTTCGTGATGAATGAACCCAAGCCCTCGCAATCAGAATCTTTGTCAGGGATCGGCGATCTAATGTAAGACGCGACCGCTCTCCAGCAGTCATCTCCCATGTGCTCCACGGATGAAGGTAAAAGGTAGAGAGGAATCCAAGATGAGTAGGAAGAGAGAGGAAGGAGGACAGTAGATTTTAAGTTATTAATGCAATGGTTGTGCACTATATCTAACTCTTGTCTGCCATCTTGATGTCGACACAAACTTTGCTCTTATGACTATTTCACCTGGCCAGTATACCCAAACCCTACCTGCCATCTTGCCATGAAAACAGGGTTTAATGTTAATGCTGTATTTCCTATGTAGCGTAACCATTCCTTGATTGCCGTCTTTGCACGGGCACTGGTATTTCGGTTGCTGCAGCATCTTGTAGTGATTAATCGCACATGGTTGAAGAGCTGTGTAATCATGCAAGATTGATCGCTACTACATGCTACTTGTATACCATTCTTCATAATGAATAGTTGTTTTTCATCTGTTTAGCAATGAGGTGCCACTGCTAGCGATTTTTATTTAAATTTTTTTAAACTTTGACTTTTGGATATACAAGATAAAACCATAATACAGGAACAAATCAGAACAAAAAGGCAGGATAAAATCCACTATTAACATGGTATTATGTTTGACAACATAAAGATGCATAGGACGCAAGAAACGGAAAAATAGGAAAAATATAAAACATAAAAATAAAAGGTCAGATTAACTTGCGTGCATGGGTCAGGTGACAAATATAACAATGAGGTGGGAGAATACACAACCATTCTTAAGTGTAACTATGTTCCCAACCTAGAAACAAGCTCAAAAGGGAGGGAAGAAAGAAGAGAAAAAGGAAAAAAATACAGTGCAAAGACTGGGAAACAGCAGCAGATATGAGAGAGAGAGCTCAAACCACTCTCAGAAGAATGCCAATCCAAGAACCGAGACATTCTATATGAATAGACTCTGGCAGATACTAATGAACCATATTCCTGAGAGTAGATGAATTCAAGCCAGTAAATTCAGGTTTTCCAAACGTTTTCCTCAGTGTGGTGAAAAGCAGCCGTTAATTTCTCAATGACACGGAGGCCGTCAACTTTCTGAAGCCAAAGTCCAAGAGTAGGGAGATGAGAGCATTTCCAAAAGGGGGATGCAAGCTCTAGCGGCATTAACAAGGTGGAGCAAAAGGGATCAACGGTAGGGGGTCTCGGAGAGCGGAGACAAATGAAGCAGTAGAGCTGCAGGATTATCCACTAATGAGATCCCCGTAAGTTGGCAAATAATGCGTAGGACTGCATCCCAAAAATCTCTTCATTCGGGGGCAGGACCAGAAAATATGGAGGATCGTGCGGCTTCTAAGCCGCACTCCAGCAAATTGGAGAGGGTTGAGGGAACATCTTATTGAGTGTAACAGGATCATAGTACCATCTGGTAAGAATCTTGTATCCAGTTTCCTGAATTGCACTGGCAACAGAAGCTTTATGTGCAAAATTAAGAATATAATCCCTTTGATCCTGTGTAAAGGGGTTTCCCAAATCTCTCTCCCATTTAATCAGAAACCTAGGGGGCGAAGCAGTAGCGGGATGCAGAAGAAGAGTATGGGCCTTAGACAGGCCATGGGCGACACTCACTGGACAAACAAATCTCCTCGCAGGCAGACAAGTCTGATCTCAGCGTAGTGGCACCTATAAGACAAGTCAGCAAGTGGCAGAATTGCATTGCCTGCCACCGCAGTAAAGAAGGGGGAACCATGACAGCTAAATCCATAAAAGGCGGTAACCCACTGGGAGACCAACATTGAGCCACCCCAAATTTGTTGTCAGAGTAAAAACGTGGGAAGGATCTAACATCTAAGCCGGGTAAAAACTCTGGATTTCCAACAACTGGAGTCATAGTGGAAAGAGAGGCGCCCGTAGACTGCTAGCGATTTTAGGAACACATTTGAACTACCAAAACCAACTATAAACTCCTGTATAGGTCAAGTCTAATGTGGTGCACTCTTTCCTAAAATAAATATCCAAATTTTACTTTAGTGCAGTCTGTGAAAAAGCAGTGAACCACACAACCGGAAAATGAAATTGCTAGGGTCATTTTGTACAACAATTAGATACAGAACAGTTACAGGATCCCACTGCAAGGACCCAATGATTGAATTTTTTCAGTCTTTGAATTAAATGAATAATTCAAGTTCTGTATTGCCAGATTCTCAATTATCTGGCAAGCTGTGAATAAAGGTCACTGCATTCGTTTGAAAAGCTCTGCCCCCTCTGTAATTCACTCCATTCTCCCTGTCCCTACAGTTGAAAGGTTTCAGGGTTTTAACTCCAGCTTTTTTTCATGGCCCCAAACCAAAAGTGGGTATGTGCCCCATCTTGGATCTGCAGGCTCTAAATATCTTTATCGGGCCTGAAAAGTCTGCATGGAT